TCAAGATTTCTTTTTTTTTTTTTTGGTGCTTTGTACGTTTTTTTCCCCAGTTGCTCCGCGATGAAACGGGCCGTCCAATCAGATTTGAGCTTTGATCACGTGCCCAGGGCAGCTGCTGTTGCACAAGGCAAAGAGTGATGGCGCTGTTTCGAAAACCCGTGTAAACAAACACCGAAGAAGAGGATTCCGAGAGTGCATTACAAGTTCTTCTTATCTTTGGTATCTGAGAACAGATTTATTCTCTTATTAAATCAACATGTTGTCAGAAATACAGTATATTTCAGTATATGCAGTTTAGCATAGAAGGTGATTTCATTGAGGATAATTGAACTGATGAAGGGCTAATTGAGTTTTCTTTTCTGATCCTAGAAGTCAATCTCGAAGCATCTCATACAACAATAAACAGTTTTTCTTCTGTAAACTTTCTCATGCTACAAGCAACTAAAACTGTTCCACTAAAGTGAGAGTATCTTACACTTTTAATTCCTTTAACTTTAGTTAAAGATAATTTATGTGATAAACTTGAACACCAGTACAATCTGTATGTGGAAATCATGGCAAACGTTCCTGCAGCTTTGACACTGGGTCCTGAATGTATGTGTTAGTGAATAACCCTATAGACTAAATAATAAATCAGACTCTTGTTGCACATATGGAAATATGAATCTGCAGATTAGATAAAGGGGTGAAGACCTTTGCAAAATAGTAATGCGTGTATAAATGTATCGATTATCAGCAATTCTGGTATATTGTATGATTATTTACAAATGTCTCTGCACTGTTGTTTAGTGCGATAAAATGTTTTGCACGTTCCTTAGAATATCTGTTAATACTCATTTACTAAAGCCAGTGTTGTTTATTTTGTAATCTTATTTCAGACAGGGCCACTTTGGCAAGTTACTTTGAGATTATTGAAACACAAGTTATCTCTGGTGGAGTGGCTCCTTACGGGGTTCTTGCTCCATAATTATTTGAACATACAAGAGCTTTAGTATTGACCCCCTGCATCCATCAGCTTGAGTGATATGATTAAGACACATTAGTAATGTCTTTGAAAGTGAAACAGTGGTAACGTGTAGTGAATCCCAGGACGACTATACTGTAGCTTGCTATGAAGAATGAAAGTCTCTCAGCAGCGAGGTCCATGACGAATAGGACTTGAAAGCCTTGGTAATCTGAAACAAAAAGAAGACGTCAGCCAGAAGGTGCACAACAATATGCTTGATACTTATAGCTGGCGAGCAGTTTGAGCATAACTCCAAAGCTGTAATATATATATATATATATATACACATAACTGCTGAGGGCGGAAACTATAGCAATGCAGAGCTGTCAGTCAGCCGCCGTGGGCGGGGCCTATGCAAGGTGATGTCATATTGCTTAGAGAATCAAAACAGCAGGCCTAGAGAGACTGATTTGGTTTAATGGGGATTAAAAAATGAGGAGTGGCTGGATTTTTATCATTGTAGGGTGGTTGTGTTCACACACTCCAAGCCACATTTATGTCCAAACAACATGTGAAAGTGGCCTTTAATTTATGTTGCATGTGTGTTGAAAGTGTCGCTTGTTACAAACACTTACTCATGTTAGGTGAAAGAGAAGTTGATTTCCAGGAATGAAAATAAACCTGTCACTGAGTCAAAAGAACTGCAGAATTCCTCTAAACCACAATCATAGTCTTTCAGCTGCCTGAGATTCTTTGAGAGTTTGCTGGTGTTGCTTCACTTTCACTGTTAACTTCATAGAATCAGGGACGGTTAACTTTCATTTTGCAGGAAATAAAAGTAAACTGGTTGTTCTTTGCCTGTAAAATGTGTAGTAGATGTTTGAACTGAAAACAGCTGCACATAGCAATGGAAATATGAATCTGCACTGCATTATATATATATATGTATATATTAACTATTAACTCAGTTACTGAGGCCACTGGTGTAATTTGCAGGTGTTTGACAAGGATCCACATAGACAAGTCTTCACAGGATCATTTTATCACACTCATAATCTACAACATAAATCCTTTCCCAAACGAAAGCTCACAAGCTCATCAAGGCTTCAGCATCCAGGAAATAATCCAAAGGTGTCTTATTCAGTAATAATACGACTTGAGTCCTTTCCGAGAGCAGAGAAATGCTTCTTTGGCGATGGATCTATAGGCTTGCTGTTAAGTGTTTGGTGAATGTGCAAACTTGTCATATATCTGTAATGCACCTATAAATTTGTCAAATTATATAAAATCAGGCATAAATATTAGTTTCTCTTTATAAGTGAGCCATCTGTTTCACAGCGAGAAGACGGTACTTCAGGTGTAACGAGTTTATGACACAAAAGGGGTGTGATATTTCACTCATTTCTGAGCATGCAAAAGGTTTGTGCTGAATACTGAACAAAAGCTGAGAACGGTAAGACAAGTCATGCATTTCTCTGTCTCACAAAAACATATGTATTAATTTATTGTGTGGAAAAGTAAGTGTACGATGCACACTTTTCACAGACTGTGATGACACATTTCCACAGTCACTTACAATATAAATCTAACAAAAATAATTATTATTTTAATTTATAACTATATTTATTACCATGGCATTCAATTAAAAAAAAAAACAGTGTTGCTTGAGTGTTTCTCTCTTCTGACCAGCGTAAGGATTCTTTCAGTATTTTTTTAATATTCTCTCTCTCTCTCTCTCTCTCTCTCTCTCTCTCTCTCTCTCTCTCTCTCTCTCTCTCTCTGTGTCTCTGACACAAAAAGAAAGAGGATGCTAAGAATTTGATCACAGATGAAATGAGCAAGATCGATGGACTGATGAGGAAAAACCTTCACTGGAAATGAAGCCTTTCAAGGATCTCATGGTCATTTTCTCAGAAGGAGAACAGAAAGCCAACTGCATACGCCTGGCACATCCACTGATTGCTGATGCATGTCTAAACATGCTCACTGAGCACAATCTGACAAGATCTGACATCGCTCACGACTTCTTGAAAAATATGAAAAATTTGTAAGAGCCTGTTATTCACAAGGCCTGAGGGTCTGACAGAAAAGGACATGTTTTCCAGACTGATTCTTGACATCATAAAGGAAAATAAAACTAACAAGTGCATTTGTTTGTTGGAGTCGGCTTCAAAATTGTTCTCAACAGACCCTTTCTATCCTCAAACACTGGCACGTTTGTATTACATTAAGGTACAAGGGGAAAACAAATATAAAAAGGCAGAAAAATGGGCAAAAGGGGCTATTGATAGAGACCGCACAAATTCTCATATTAGGGACACACTGGGGCAAGTTCACAAAAACCACCTGTCACGGATCTGGAATAAAACAAGGCAGGAGTGGAGGAAAGTGATAAAACCATGCACAGACATAGACACACGTTTGGCCATGGCAAAGTCTGCCATTGATGCATTTGATGATGACGAGGAAGCAGCTAAAGATGAGTTAGCAAACCCTAAGACCAAATACAATAGCAGGGGCCGCTTTGGTTTTCTGCAGGTTTGCAAGGAGATTTATGATTTAATAGGTCCAGAAAATCCACTTAAACAAAAACACCTTGACTTCATCAATGGTCTCAGAGGTAGTGTTGAGGACAAATATGATTTCTTTGAATGGTATCTGGCATTCTCCAAACTGAGTTTTAAAGAAGAGGATCCAGACTACTTTCACAGAGATGTTGAAGATTGCTATAAGAGATATTTTACACAGGAAACTCCGAATGAAGAAAAGACCCTGAATGAGAAAAAAAAGGAGTCTTTTGGAGGACTGCTTCATTTCTTAAAATCGGACATCAATGTGTGTAAACAAAACCTGAGTGCAAGTGAAAAACCCCGGTCAGACAATGAAGACCAAATCATTCTCTACATTCTTGCCAACATCATCCTGAGTTTGTCGGGTGAGCCGTGTGAAAAAACAGAAAAGCTTCAGGCCAGGTTACAGAAACTTTGGTTCAGTAAAGAACAAGGCAGAAGCCCAGAGTTTTACCTCTTGATCTTTCTGCTCTTTTGGCCTGATGAAGCACCGAAAGCAAAGGTTAAACCTCCAGACCTAGAAAACTGTGTTGAATACACGAGTCAGTCATACGAGAGCAAGTATGGGGAACACCTCCGCGGCCGCTACCTGGTGCCTCTGTTCTTCTTAGGGACAGAAGGAGGTTTGCAGAGACTGGTTCATGCATTAAAACCCCATAAAAAAGGTTTGCGGAGACTGGTTCACTCAAAACTGCATCAAACTGATCTGGAGCTCCTCACTGAAGGAGATGAAAGTGTGGAAGTCAAGTGTCTTCAGCGCATCAACGGGAAGGTCAAGAATCACAGTGTTTGCTGTAAGAGATGGGCAACAGATTCCCGTCTCTCCTCACGATCAGGCCAGTGTGTGCAAACACGGACAGGTGTCTTTCTACCTGGGCTTCAACATCAGAGGACCTGTTGCCTACAACATCATATATCATAAGAACTGTGAGTAAAGCAGTACTTTATATTCCAGACTCATAAAACACAAATGCTGTATTTGCCAAGCGTTTGTCAGTTTAAAGTTTGATTGTATTCAAAATGTAGAAAGTGCATATGAAATGTTTTAGTTTTATTATCAATTAACTATTTCATTCCTGTTTCTCTGCCGAGTTCATGGATCATTGAATGCAGTAATTCAGAGTCTAAATGAATCTAAATGATGTTCTAATGACACTGGAAATGCTTAGCAGCGCAGCTCATACAAGGACAGCATTGAGGGAAATAAGCTTTCTTCTCAGCTGAGTGTGAAAACAAGACTGTACAATATTGAGTCAACCTTTAACAAATCATGTTTATATGCTTATATT